GCCACCGACGAGCTAGTTTGCGAAGCTGTGTGGTAAAACGCTGATGCAACAAGTCAACATCGCCGAAATACTGATTCTTCATGGACGCGGCCATGATATCCATGTCGATGTCCGCATTGATGCGTGAGAACTCATCCACCATTACTGCATGTTCATGCGCACGGCGTAGGTGGTGATCATCAATGTCCGAACAGCGACACGGAAAAGATACGTCAGGAGTCCAGTTGCCATGTGCGGTAGTTGTAGATCCTGTCTCCCAAAGTGGCACTGCGAGTTTCCACCACCCGGATCTTTGGAAGAAATAGGGAGGGGAACAAGTTACGATGTGAAGCGACCCAACGTTGTAACCACGTGCCAAGTTGAGCCTTCCAATTCCGTACATGTAGAGGCGGTAGAAGTAATTGTGTCAAAGTGCTTGGTGATTGGAGCTGTCGTTTGCGCATCACCTGGGCGAGGAGTTTCTGTGCTTTTGAACGAAAGGGCTCGTTGACGAAGACGGAGAGTCGCAGGAAGTAGTAGAGCTGAGTGGGAGGAAAAGCCGCCGACAGTAGGTCTCGCATGGCCTGGAATGATGCGCCTGTGTTGGATCCCAGCTGATAAAGAGTGGAGTAATGTGTTTGAATGTCATCCAACACTTCAGGTCGTAATTGCCGTTGAAGATCTGGATGTAGTCGTCGTCGAAAACGTTTGTGTAGACCGAGCGAGGTGGGAGACGACAATGAATGACGTCGAAAGTGAACTAGATGCTCCCGAAAGCCTACCTTTCGAAGAAGTCTATGTACCCAGGGTGCATTCAAATGCGGACGCAGCAGGTATTGCCACTTGCTTTCCTGGACCCAAACCGAGGAAATGGGAAGTTTGATCTCAACCGGAATGGCACAGAAAAGCCAGTAAGTGTTGGTGCGCTTCCAGTAGTGAAGTGCAGGTTCGAAGAAGGCCGTCCCCGAAGTAGTTGTAGAAATTTGCGACTGCGTGAGTGTTCTCGTCGTGATCAGTTGCACCAACGTAGTATGGTGTGTGCCATGGAGAAAGTCGGATGTAAACGCATGGTTGTTGATGATGACCTGGATCGTGAATGAAGTCATAGAGGTCCGGAAAACGTGTCCTGCAAAGGTGGAATGCATAATTTCGCACAACAGAGATGTCTTGTAGAAGTGAAGAACTTCGAAGAACGGTGGGACATATCCATAATCTTGAGAAATGAGACGCTGCAAGAAACTGATCAATAAATAGGCCGTGCACCGGCACCTGTGAAGCTCATACCTGTTGGCCACAGTGTGGTAAGACTGTGACATGGCGTGAATCGGAATCTGAAGTGCAATCCGGACCACAACTAGTACTTCCGGAATAAGGCCCAACCAAGGTAGTTGTGCAACTGACTCATATTCATCGATTGGTATCGACGGTGGTGGTAGTCCAGGAAAGCAGTATTGCCAGCACGTAGAGAACATTGTCAACGAGTGTAGAAAGGTGTCCAGAGAATGCCATTGTGCAACATCATCATAGATTCCACAGCGGCGAAGCTCAGCCAACATGGTGAACATGCAACCAATGAAATCTACAGGGTGGCGGCGACATGAATGCAAGCGGCAATTAACTTTCAAGCAAATGACAACGCAAGCACAGACAAGCGCATCATCAAACAAGTGCAAACAAGAAGAGGACGGACGAGTTTTGAACCTTTCCTCAACAGTGACACAGCTGCCGCTCCGGGCTCATAAGTAAACGAAGGGGACTGCTCACCCACTGAGTAAGCGGGCGGTCACGATGAGGTGACACAGCGCCTTGTCAGTGAGCTTGGTGAGGTAGCCGGGCTCCAGTCCCCACAGAGCCGCCATCGCCGCAAACGTAGGTGCGTCTCCTTTTGGCATGCGTTGACGCGCCTGAAGGAGTTGCATCGCCATGGAATCCAAGGACTTGTTGCCGTTGAGACGGGACAGGTGATTGGCCCACTTGATCAATGACGCCAAAGTGGTGGTTGTGGGCGATTGCTTGAGATACAAGCGTGGCTGATCACTAGTCCATGTGTAGTACTTGATGACGTCATCCGGCGTGCTGTGCATGGTGAGCAATTGTGACGCCGCCGGCTTGGAAGGCGGTGAAGAAAGTCCGTGAAGAGATTGAATGATCCGGGGTTGCACCGCGCCATCAAACGACTTGCCATCAAGGGCCGCTGCGCTGGCCGTAGGGAGGGAGCTGGGAGGTGACGAAGATTGTGTGTGGTTGACCGGTGGTGGTGTAACCAACTCTGCATCATCCTTCTGGTTTGGCGCCGTGGGGGAAGTCGAAGCGCGTAACGATGCTGAATACTGAGCCTGGAGCAACTCATGAGCACGATTTAGATCATTGTACTTCTTGACCATGTCATCCGTCTGGGTAGAAGGCGTGAGAGTTGCGTGGTGTTGCTGAAGAAACTGAAGTACCAAGTTGGCCAAATGGTCATGAACCTTGATCCGCTGATTGAAGTCGTCCAGGTTGAGCCCCAGTGAGCTAGCAAGGTCCTTTTCCAAGGTAAGCAGGTTGATCGACTGTGATCGTCGTAGTAGTTTGGAACAGGAACTCCAAAGTAAGGCCTCGGTGCGACTGCGAAAGCCTTCCCACGTCACGAATCTGCCGTGAGCAAACGGTCGGAGCAGCCAGTTGGTGAGGCCCCCATGAATGACTTGAACCAGGCGAACGTCACGAATGTCCATGCCGGACATGTCACGTAGGTTGTTGTGCGGGGTGTTGGCGACCGTCATGGGCAGGCTGAAGTTGTAGAGCTGGTTGATATCTAACATGCCATCTCCAGGTGTCCAGTCAGCCGATGGTGTAAGCCAGGCTTTCTGAGGTCGAACCGGCAGGGCTGCAGGGTATCCAGGTGATGGTGTAGTTTGCGAGGGAGTGACCGGTGGCGGCATCACGGGCGTCATGAACTTCGTTGGCGTGGGCTCTGGAGGAACCGGCATCATGTAGTTGATCGGTGAATGATGGAACTGCTGCGTGGGGTTTGGAATCGATTGATAATTGGTCGGCATCACCGGGAAATTGTTGGCGGAGTTGTAGCCAGAATTGTGTTGCCAGGATACCAGGTTGTTCCAATCCATGCCCTCCGAGACTTGGTTGTCATTGTGTTCGCGTCGGTGTGCTTTACGAGCTTGAGGGGAAGGACTCCGATCACGTCTGCGCCGAGTCCTGGATCTGTCACGATCATCACGTCGAGACATGGTGGCGCAACCAACTCACAACCGTCACACTTCAACCTTGAGAGAAACGAATCCGACAAAATGCAAGTCAATGCAAGTTCAAGTCAGCGGCCATCAGCAGCAATGGTGAGAGAAACGAATCCAACAAATGCAAGTCAGTGCAAGTTCAAGTCAGCAGCCATCAGCAGCTATGGTGAGAGAAACGAATCCAACAAAATGTAAGCCAATGCAAGTTCAAGTCAGCAGCCTTCAGCAGCTATGGTGAGACGTCTCTATGATGTGACAGCTATCTTCCCTTTGTTGAAACCTCGTTCCTGGTTAAATGTGAAATTCCGCTGTTCTATGATAAGAACGTTGAGGTCAAATTTTCCGACAAAGCCGGCCCGGGGTCACACAATGGAATGGGGTGTACACACTTAAACTCCAGATGGAGGGTGCTAATCTTTCGAGTACAACTGATGAGTCTCGAGTACAACTGATGAGTCTCGGCTGAGTTCTGCTTGCAAGTCACTTGGCTTCACTTTAGAAACGAAAACGTTACAGGAAAGAACAAGA